ACAGATGCATTACCAACAGAGGACTATTGTGTTGCATCATTAAAGCTTTTCTCATAGAAGCAGCTGTGCATGCGTTTCTGTACAAGGCTGTGCTGAAGTCTGTGTGTGCTCCATGAATCATTCGAAACTATAATCCTAAACCTTGCACTTTCCCTCAGAGAAAATTGCCCTCTCCAAGAAGTGCAGCAGGCATGTGATAAGCGTGTGTAGCCTGAAAATAAGCATTTAGCCTACATTCCTAAGCCTCGACATCAAAAAGGCTTCAGACAGAATGCAACGGCTACTTTTTTGTAGGCCACTAGTACTTAGGTCTGAATTACATGGCACTATATTTCTCAAGGCCCTGTAAACAAGACAAACCTATAGCAACTGCAAGGTGGCATTTGAATGTGCATGATAGCCAAAAAGGGGCAACAGTTTGTGGCTTTCAGAGCACGCTGAGTCATATTCAGGTTTTCTGCAGCAATTCTGCCAATGGGCATTTACTGCTTAGACGCTCTTAATCAATTTAGCATGTGTCAGGCTCCTCCAAACTGAGCCAGGATGGGCCAGAGCATCCAAAACATTGGCTGTTTTCGGCATGAAGGTCGGCGAGCCAGCTATGGCGGCTCCCTCCAGGCCAGTGAATGCTGGCAGCATGCCCTGGACAGATGGCAACACATGGCAAAATTACAGCACTGCCAGACAATGAATGTATCCGTGATACTAATTGTGCCCCGATCTATGCACCAGTCATGAGTCAATGAAAAGATTATTCTAGTACAGACATAAGGAACGCCTACAAGGGTGCCTGAGAGACAGGTTACTCTGAAATAGCCTTTCTCAGACAAGGACGACACTAACAGACATTTAATCATCACAAACTCTTATTCTACTAAAAATTATAATAAGGCTTGGGAAAATAGGGCTGAAATAAACTGACATTTCCGCATATTGGCTGACAGACAAAGAGCAGAAGGGGGGAAAAAACAGTTTATTTTCTCATGATGCAAAACAATATCAGTGCTTCAGACAGCAACAAAAGGTGACAGACACCAAGGAAGATCATCTCATGCGGCTGCTGTTGTCTTTACAATGCACCCTATTCTCACTCTGACAAGCAACATGCAAGTTATTCAAACAAATCAAAGCCTCAGACAAACTAATCAAACCAAAGCTAAGGATAAAAAAGTAGCTCAAAAGCTTTTTTTCCATCAGCAAAGTAATTCTCTAGAAACTCAAACTGGCCTCAAGCAGAATTACAGTCAGACCATTTCAAAGACCATCAAAGAAAATTACATCGCAGTGCAGGATAAAAATAAATATGATTGTTTTAAAATTATTACAACTTGTCAAATTTTAAGTCTTCTAATACATATAATGTGTGATCTCAACCATTCATTCGAAGCTCTGATTGGATGCTGAGAATATGAACGTCAGAATGATGCAGGTTAGGTTCAGTAATGTTTTGTTTTAATCTCATCTGACCACATTACCGTCTTCTACATCTCATTGAATATTACCTTACCCAATATCTATTTATTGCCAATGGTAGTATATCTTACAAAATTTAAGCAAACTTTAAGTGATAAATAAGAATTAATGCTACACATTTCTACTGTAAAATACTTAAGCTTACACACAATTTCACATTATTAGTACTGTGTAATATTGCAAATTTTGGTTAGGAACAATTTTGGAAGTTGCTAAAATGACAAGAAAAATCTAGTTGTTGATTTTATTATTATTATTTTTTTTTTCTTTTCAGCAGAGGCCACGACAAGTGCCCATCACTTCCACCACTTGAAGTTTCAACACCAATTCCACGCAGCTCTCAAACCTGCAGTCCAGAGAGGTCCAATGTTCCGAAACAATCAAAGCGTGGCTCTTCATGGAGGACATGGCTGAGGTGAGTCACACAAACACGGAAGAGGTGAGAATTAATTAAAAAAAAGGTGAACACTGCATGGAGAATGGGTCAGGGATAGGTGAGAAACAATGAGTTTCACTTATTGTAATAGAACAAGCCTGCCCCAAAACGCAATAATTGTGAAACATTTGTAGATTTTTTTTAAATGAACATTCATTTTGGGGGTTTTTATCATTTAAAATGTAGATTTTTTTCTGTTAAATTTGTTGTTAAATATTTCTTAATGGAACCAGAAAAAAGGACCTGGAAAGTTTTAATTGGGGTACTGCATTTATATTTACTCAGTTTAATTTAAACTGAATTCACACTACTACACTGACTTAAATAGTGGCACGTTACAGTGCATTTGTTTGTTTGGTGTTTTAATTTTATGTCCACATTCTATGTTTTGGTCAATGCAAACATCATCACAAAGCCTGAGCCAAACGCCTGAGCATGTGCTGTGCTGCGCCTCTTGTCGTGGAGCACTGGCCTCAGCTGTGGGTCTGGCCTCATCTCTGCTGCTCTGCTGATCATCCTCTGCGCTCCACTGATGTTGCAGGTCAGCCATGTGCTCACGCGATGCGAAGCACAAGAGGAAATGAGCTAGTGTTAGCCCGATCAGAGAACAACACCTTTCTGTGAGTGTTAACAGGCACTGTGATCGTGACACCGCATCAAATTTCACAAGCCCGTGCTGGCAGCGAAAAGGACGACGCTACATTAACTTCAGACTCTCTGGACTGTTGGCTCTATGCGGCTGAAATCTGGGCTCACTGAATGAATGTAACACAGCCAAATGATCACATAAGTGGTTTTCTTAAACTCCTCTTGAATAGCAGCATCAGAAATTTGAGCCCCGTGTTGTCTGATTTCCTTGCATTGTCAGCGCAGCAGCAAGAAAACATTATGACAAAGCTGCAAATACAGACTAATTTGTGGGCAGTGAAGTGGGACAACTGATGCTGCTTCAAACAATTTAGTTGTAATTGTACTGCCATTTCAGAATTAGGCAACTAAGGAGACAAGTGTGAAGATAATGTCCACAGTTAACAACACTAAGTGTTCTTGGAATACGTCTGAAAGTGGCTCAAACTGGAGAGTTCATCATATCAGAATCCAATCAATCACTTCTTATTCCTGGCTAATCTGTTCATCTGACATTTATAGTTGTTTTTCCGACTCCATCCATCGACTTAATGCAGCATTTTACTATCTATATTTATGCAGATGGCTATTTAGAGGGGAGCCTATTCAGCAACAGCAGCAAACCCATTTTCAGCAGAATGTTTGAGTGTCTATAAAAATGTCTATTGCTGTTAAAAGGTGAAGACTGATTCAAACTGGGAAGCACCTGCTATTTTGCTCCCTTTAACCACAACAAATTACAATCCAGGAGCTTTATATATCCTCAAAACCAAACACTGTGGACCGGTATTGAATGAATGAATATATTATAGGGTGTGTTAAAGTGGGACTGCGTATATATATATATAAAAAAAAAAAAAAACGTCCAAAAAAAGGAAAAAAAAAAAAAACAATTTTGATGAAAAAGTTGGAGTCTGCTCAGGGAAATAAATTCACCTGCCAGCTTGCAGGTATAAAAACGCACCAGAGAAGAAAAAACAGGAGTAGGGATTTCACAGTCAAATAACTTGTGACATTTTTGACTAGAGCTGTTGATGAGATAGCACAAAGAATTACCTTGGTGTATCAAAACAGTTTCGTTTTTTTCCTGTTATAAGCCTCCCAACATGCTCCGGTTTATAAAAAGAACAACAGAATGTGGAAATTGGACTTCTCAAGAAAGTTTTACAAATGTTGCTTTGAGAACATTGTGCAAATTTGAGTATATTTTTTTTCCTCACCTTAACGTCTGGACAGTGTTATTATATGACTATAGGCTACAAGATCACAAAGATTTGCTAAAGCTATATGAAAATGTAAACTTCTTAGTAGAAAAAGGAATACAAGTAATATAGTATTTTTTATTTAGTACTAATAAAATAACCTCTGTGCAAAGCCTTTGAAAGGCCTGAATACTCTTCTATGAAACAGAGACACATAATACTGATGAGCCCAACTTTGGCTAAGCAGGCAACCCACTAAAATACATTAAAGAGGATTTTGCCTGAGTGCTTATTGAAGGTCTAATTCAGAAAGAGGTAATCACCAGGAGACATTAGTCAAAAATTATTGTAGTTCTGCTTATGCTTTCTCATCATTATCCATTAGATATTAAGAGAAAGGAAAATAGCCCTTCACAGGAGTAAATTACTACAAATTCATTTTGGCCTCCTGAATACAGCCATGGCTGTTAAAAAAAGTAAACTTTTTAAGCAATTCAAAACATTTCATTAATAAACGTGTTCAAGAATGATGCTGACTTTATTGAAAACTTTGAACTAAATGATACTGGTTTTGCATGACAAGCTTGTGGTGAGCACAGCTCACACGAACATCTTCTAATGGTGCTTTACTAGGGGATGAACATAAGACCTATACATTTTCAAGGGCAAACTTAGAATAACTAATGCAGAAAAGCAAATTTGCCCTTAAGGCAAACTTGATGGCTGCTTGATGTGTGAGTGTGTGTTTTTCTGCATGCAGGAAACAGAGATGTGGCCCAGCTTAAGATTTGCCAACCTTATGTGATGCTGATAATGAAGCACAGGAGTTGTCTTCATTTTGCATGATTAAGTCATTTGCATGATTAAAGATTTTGTGAGCACACACCACACACACACACACACACACATATATATATATATATATATATATATATATATATATATATATATATATATATATATATATATATATATATGTGGCAGACAACCGCAAGGGTAACTGAATACACCATCAGGCACAAGCATCATCATTTAGAGCAACATATTTTTAGCAAATAATAATTTAAGAAGAATATAAATAGCTTCAATTAGAATTATTTCTTTTGTTTTATGTTTCTATCAATTTTTGACATTCATTTTGTTCCCTCAAGGTCATGTTCTTCTTTGGTTAGTAAGTCACACTGTTCATATGAAAAACCATCACCATTCATAATGATATGGCAGTTATTGTATCAAGTGAAAAAATAAAAATGTTTTCTTACCAAGTCTGTTGTCCAGTGCTCCAAAGTCCAATGAGTACTTGACAACATGATAGTTGTTCCACACGTATAGCAGATTGTCCCTGGGATTATAATCCACAGCAGCAATGTACTGGTATGAATTGGGGAAAGGTATGTCCAGAAAGCCATCTTTACTGAGCTCGGTGTTGTAGATGTAATCAATCTTGTTCCCTGTTGCTTCGTTGTCATCGTCTTCATAGACTGACTTCACCACGTAGAGGATCCCACAGATCATGAAAGCGTTAGAGGCCGAACGCTTATCGTAAGCCGTGTCCCAGGTACCTTCGACTCGCAGCGTGTAGGGATTTAGCTGGCTGATGACAATCCGTCCATTGTTTTGCTCAGTGGCATAAATCACCCAAAGTCCATTCTCATCCACAGCCAAGTCAATGTCTGACTTTCCTCCCCACCGGTAGGGAGAGGTATCGTGGTAGTTGGCGTTGGCGATGATGGCCTCACCGCTCTTGATGCGAGTTCGCAGGTCAAACTTGACAATGTTGCGTGTGCGCTCCTTGTTGAAGAACAGCGCCCCGTCGTAGACCACAAAGCCTGTGCCGTCGACACGATGTGGCAGCTTGTAGGTTGTTGTTGGCCTTCCAGCAATGAAGTCTTCTTTAGAAGAGTATTCAGTCAGGGTGTCCGTACGGTAGGGCGTCCAGGGCATGTAGTAGATCTTATCAGAAGCCTGGAGAGGATCCTTGCACCAGGCTCCGGACTGGTGGTCTGACTCAAACAGGTGCTCGCTCTGGTATACCCTGCGCAGAAGCCCTGGGCACAGGAATACTGAGGAGCCAAAAATGGGGAAAGACAATCACAGAGTTACATTGCCACGAAATAGTTCAATTGAAGCACATGAAAGACAGACAGGAAATATTCTAATATATCGCGATGGTGTCAACAGATGTTCCTGTCTGAGCTGCAGATATATCTATATGTTCTCCAGGTTAACCTGTCTGCATCTTTAATCAATGCTCTCCTTGTTCTATTTATTTGAGTGGCCATGTCTTTATAAGATATTGAGTTAGGCATTTTCTAGGCTAACCTGTTTAAAAGTCTCCACAACTTTGTCCCTGGCATGCCTGCTGTGTTCCTTGGGTTTTATGGTGGTGCTTGCACATGAATTTACTTTTGCCAACAATGCTAAAAAAATACTAGAAAGCTTGGAACTGTTTTTGAAAATACCTTTTGATAAATCATGGAAAGTATTGTCTGACAGCACACAATAAGAGGGATTTTATAACTTGCCTTAACATTTTGTGGAGTTACATTTTTACAAGATAAGGATTATTTCTAGTTCAGGTTGTTTCCATGACCTTGAAAAAAATTATTGACATTGTTGCTAAATAAATTTACTTATTTGCAGAGAAGGGGATAATAAACTTAGTGAAGGTTATGTTTCCTGACTTCATGAGCACAGAGGAGTCAGAGACACAGCTAAAACTAACAGCACGCACCATTACTCGCCTACACACAACTTTATTTTTCTTTTCTCTTTGTCTACATGCAACAACTTTTCTACACAAGCACATATAAAAAAGTGGAAGTGGTAATGGCTTCATTTAATTTTCTGCTTTCTTGTGAGTGGGAGTTAAAAAAAAAAAAAAACATTAAGCAAAAACACACACATCCCAAATTTTGATGAATGGCACTGTGGCAATTATTGGCCAAGGCAGGCTCTTTGAGAAAATGAAAGCAAATCAAAAGATAAATAAATAAATAAATTACTGTGACATCATTGCTATGACTGCTTTTTCATTATTCCATCTGAATGATGTTTTTAAGCAGTGTTATGATTTATAGCCCGCCACACACGCACACACACACACACTGAACTAATCATAAGTAAACTGGTTAGTGCTCCAGTCCAATCAAGCGAAGCCAAGGCAGTGCAGGTAAGGATGGTCAATAGAAAGCACCATTTGTAAAAAGAAAAAAAAAGCCAATATCAGTTAGCTGATTACTGTGGACAGTGGCAATAATAATTTTCTCTTTTCTAAAAGGTGACATCTGAATTCTCAGTTACAATGCCTGCAAAGTCACAGTAACTTACCCTTTGAAATGTAGATTTATAAATACAATATTTAGCACAAGAAAGAGAGCACAATAAAATTATGTTTGGGCCCAGAGTGTGTGCGAGCAGCCTGAGATGGCTGATTTGAGTAAAAATGGGGCAGCAGCCTGACAGAGCGCTGACAGCTCTGAGCTCCCGCAAGCTGCCCGTTCTGAAGGGGGAGAAGAAGACAGGGAAGACAGAGGCCTCCCGTCCCTCCCACCCCCCTTTTATGTAATCTCCCAAGATTAAACATGTTGTCTACCTGCAGGGTGAAAAACGCGCCGAGATGCGTCCCGGTGACACAGAGCCTCAGCACACATCTCAGCGTTTGCACCGCTAAATGCTGAGGGAGCAGTTTTCTCTGCATGGGAGAGGTAAAATAATAATAATAATAAAAAACCGAGACGTGCTAGGTTATGAGGTCAGAGTCTGTATGCTTTGTTCTGACAGCACTCTGGGCTCAACGTGCGTTGTGAATAAAGGTGCTTTTTAATGATGTGACAGGAGAAATGGAGACTTGTGCATGAAAGATATTAGAAGAGCAGAACAGATGTAGCTTTGATGTTTTTTTTTCTTTTTTTAGCAAGAAACTTATATTTGTCATTATCATTTTTGACTAAATAAAAAAAAAAATACATATATATTTACGTTAGCTTGAAAATTTCTGCCGAGCCATTAAAGTCAGATTTCACTCTCATTACCAGCTTCAATCTTTCAGTTTCAATTCAGAAGCTTTAGAATATATAGTCCAGCTTCATACACTGCTGATAGTGTAAGATTGCAATTGCAATAATCTATCTCCTGCATTGACTGGCAAATCCCAGAAGGTTATAGCCATCATCACGTTAGAGCTACCTGAAATATGCTGACAGCCCATCGGACAAGCTATTGATCATTCCGTATAGCTTTCTGCTTTAATAGTATGCAGCTGATAAAGCAGAGTTGGAATAATTTTCCGTTATTGCAGGAAATAAAAACATGTCGGTGTTATGGGATTTCCACTGGGAGAAAGCTTGTAAGAGCATTTTTCACATGAAGGAATGATCATTTACTGCATGTGAATCAACTATTTCATATGCAGTTGTTAAAAATTTCAACACATTATAATTACAAGAATTTGGGGGACAATTTCTAACTTTTACATCAAACAATAGTTCTTCACAGTTCGCCTGACCAGAATTAAAGTTCTGGTCAGGTGAACAAGAACTTGGAGAATGGAGGTCATATTAGCTGAGGAATTTTAGAGATTTGTTTCAACAGTTTTTCAAGTCTGTGATCATTATGCAGTTTCAATATTTATAAAAGAAAAAAGAATAAAAAACAAGAATGGATACATATTCTTGTTGATACACACATGATCAATATCAAAACCAAAAAACACCCCAATTAAAATTTGGTTAAATGTAACTTAGCAAGTTCCATTTTAACCACAACTTCATTTTAAATCAAGAGCTAGACAAGTGAAACATTGGACAAAATTAGGTGTCTCAAAGGAAAAAAAGAGAAAACATAAAATAAAAACAGTGTTGGAATCAATAAAGTCAGCTATCATTAATCTTCTGGATGGCCGTGACTTATCTAGATCGATGCTTAAAAGCTAGATCTGTGCACACCAAAGATTTGTTCTAAACTACAACAAACCCTTGGGTTTTGGCTCGCCTTCGTATGGAACATTCAACCAAATATTAGAGGGAGTCACATTCATGTCTGTCCAGAAATGTACATATGTAACCCGACTGACCAACAGCGATACAAATTATGCCAGAAACCATCTGCAGCGACCCATCACCGGAACATGCAAAAGCTCAGAATGGAAAAGCAGGTGAAAAACAAACAAACAAACAAACAAAACAAAAGTTGTTGGCATTTAGTTACCTTTTTGTTCCACTTCTATTTTTAGGCATGAAGGGGGAGAAAGAAAGAGAAAAATAGAATAGATTAATTACTGTAGGAACTGTCAAATAAAAGAACAAGAGAAGAACTGGGTGAGTGGAAAAAAAAAACAGCAAATATTTTATTAAAAGATTCCAGAGGAGATACAAAATATGAAACCAGAGAAGAAGCTTGCTGAAAAGGATGCAAGTGAATCAAATGAGAAATAACAGTTAAACTGCATCCCCTGGAATATTAAGGAGTTTCAAATGACATTAAGAAATGCTCATGTAATGTAATAAAACTAAACTGCAACGGTCTGAAGTTCTGATTTTAAAGAATAAACTCCTCCAGGTAATCTGCTTAAATCTCAGTTGTACATGACCCAGGAGAAAAAATACATCAAAATACTCCACCCCAAAATACTCCACCAAAATACTCCACCCCTATGTTAAGCTAAAAAGTCAGCTTAAAATAAAGAAGTTCCCATTGAGTGTTGATGACCTCCAAAATGCCATATTATTGTCTAGAAATAAAGCTTTTGTGCCATTTTCTCTAATTTGAATCAAAGGACAGCGATTTCGTTCAACAGTGTTTATGTCTCTAAATCAATTACTAGAAAAGGTCTAAAAATTGACTTAAGAGCAAAACTTATTTTAGGCAGATGACATTTGCATTGAGTAGTACAACTTGACCGCTAACCAGCCTATAACAACAATTTCCATCATTTTTATGGTTATTTGTTTCATATTGAAACATAAAACTTGCTTTAAATGTAGTCAAATTTTAAAACTTTAGAAAATCAAATTTGTTTACGGGATTGGAAATGTCACTAATTAAATGAAAATGACAGTTTATCACTAAAGTTTAACACATAGCCTGGAATTATATATTCATTTCTTGTAAACAAGACAATACTGCATATCCTTAAATCCATATAAGAAGATTCCCTGATGTAGATCGAGGAGATACTGTTTGTATGTGGAAATTGTTCATCTCATGAACAAAGCGGGTAGAGAAATATCTACGTTCAAAAGACGATAGCTCATTTTATTCACTCCAATTAATGACCACAAATAGGCCCAGTGCAGGCCTAATTCATACTGAGCTTCAGGGGCTCACTTTAAAAACCTTTTTTGCTACAAACATAAAAAAGCAAGCCCTTCAGAGGAAATCTCTCTCTTCAGCCAATTAGGAAATATTTTTTGCTTATCAGAAGTTGAAAAAAATAATTCTTGACCCAAATAAAGCATCCTCAAAACCTAGTGGTGCAGCAGAAAATTGATAAGCTCACCCCAGAACATTTGTTGCATTCCTCTGTAAATGATCTTTGGAGATTTGCTTCTTTTTTTACTTCCCTTACCATCCTCTTTAGCATGTGTGGTCTGTCCAGCCTTGTTTATCGCAGTTCCAGATGTTTCAAGCTTCTAACTTTAACAATAGATATGCAGGTAGGGACTTTCTCGTACCCATCTGATTTTCTTGAACATGTCTTCTAATTTCAAGATTGGCAAAAACAACTTCACCTTTGTGTCTCGTAACTTGTTTACCAGAGGGAAAAAGAAAAGAACATTATTAACATCTAGAAATTCTAGTAAACACACCTCAAATTTAAGAAATTTAAAAAATGCTCCATCACTTTTGTTAGACAGGACTTATCGGGGTCACATTAATTATTGCAGGGGTGATTTTATGAAAAATACAATCATTTCCCAGAAATATTTTCACCACTGAATTTTTTTTTGTCAAATTAAAGACTGGATTTTCTCATTTTTGCAGTGCAAAGTTATGTTAGAGCAATAAACCATTTGTTCATATTAAGGGCTTTTACATATCTTGGAATATTTATCTACAACCAAATGTAGAGTTCCAAATCAAACATGTGGAAACCGAATGACAGAGAAGGATAAATATTAAACAGGGAAAAACCATCAGTCTGGTGCCTCTATGCATGCTTCCTCACACATTCATCTGCAAAAAGCTTCAAGAGAATATAAAGGCCATGGACTTATCAAAGCAGTCTGTAGAGCTGAACTTATGTTTCAAGCATAGAGAAAATCACATTCATGAAGAGCTGAACCTGAGGTGGCTTACTGCACAGAAAGTGTCTTGCAAAAGCATAGAGCAATTTTTTTTTTAAATATTTTGTTACATTGTGATTATTAACTTTATAGTTTGATCAAGTTCAATACTTGAAGACAATCTGTCAGATGCTGCTGAAAAAAAAAAGTTGGGGCAGAACTTCATCTTTCAACAGTGCAACAAACATACAGCCGTAGATATAATAGAATGGGTAATATAAAAACATTCAAACATGTACTTGTGTCACAATGGGGAGTGGCAAGATTAGTCTTTGTGAACATTGAAACATCCATTTGGAAATGGATGTTTCATTCATTTTAAATGACCTTTCATTTCCTTAATTTTAAATGACCTTTGTTTATTTTGCTAACAAAAATTGACAAAAACTTTAGATCTGCAAACCTTTTAGAGACAAACTTTAGAAATTGCGTCTCACAACTGTTGCAACTTGTAGACCCACCAGTGACCAGAATGGAGATCACTGACACATATTTCACATTTCTATTTGCAAACTATTTTGAAAACCATGCATCACTGAATGGTAATGAATGCTATTGACACTTTTGCAATGCCCCCCAAAACACCTCTTGCTAAAGCTAGTACAACCTCGGCTTGTTTTGTTTCCATCTCTCAAGAAATGGAAACAAACTTGTAACAACAAAGAGTCTGATCTCTGTCACTTGGACAAGCTCCTTAAGTCAGCTGAAGCATTTTGGCTGTCTCGCCCATTTAAAGGTTCAGGTTAGCATCCAGCCAGCATACCAGTTTCAGCCCCTATCCCTCCAGTAATCCAGCATCTAATAAGATAGGATTAACCTCTGGTACCAGAGCTTACAGGAGTGCTCTCCTCCAGAGAGTGCAAGAGAGTGAGGTATGGAGGTCAGCAGCAAGGTGAAGGGAGGGTGAAGTTTAAAAGATGGGAAAGTTATTAGATGAGAACTATATTATTGCGAGGCAGCGGGCCAATGAGATGAAGAGAATCAGGCAGGTGAGTAGGAAAAAGAGGAAGAAATAATGGGGAGAACCTCTCAACAAGTTGTCTGTTTTGTCAGATCATAAAGCCCTGCACCGGTACAGCAAGACACCTCATTAACAGCGAACACTCGAGCCGTTCCTCAGGCGCAATAAGTTCGCGGCTAGCACGAGCAACAGTTGCTTAGAGCTACACACAATTCACTAAACATGGAGCTGCATATGGACCCCATGCATCAAATCAAAGCAAACAGATTAAACGTGCCCTGATCGACGCCTCCTCGCCTCCCTGGGGCAGCCGCCACATAGCAAAGACCACGGAGGGAGGCCTGTGTTTCTGATTGAGCGATTGCTAACAGTGGCGAGGGGAGAGCAGGGGTAATGATCTATAAAAAAAGGCATTAGTGGTGGGGTTGTGAGAAGCCAGTATACGATGCAATCACCGGGGGAGATGGTGTGAGAAAGGGAGTAAAGGATGTGGATGAAATCCCCAACAAGGGAACACAGTGCTCCCTGGGCTTTGGTCCAGCAGCGCCGGCTCTTCCCATGACCGGACGATGCCGAGGTGGGTTGCAGTAAGGCCAGCCGTTTGTACATTCAGAGTAATTTGTTCATGTCGTGTCCAATCATGTTTCTCCTCAGACGGAAATATAACTGAGACGTACGGTTCTCGGGTGTCCACGTTTTGCTCAAGTCGGAGAAAAGTGGAGAAAAAAAAAAAGAGGCAGAATTGATTTATCTGAAAAGCTTTTTTTACTCCACCCCACCACCTCTATTGTGACCCTAATACGATTTAGGTCACGGCTGTCACTGAGTCACTGAAAGGCACTTAGCTCCCTCATCTCTTTCCCCCCCCCTCCAAATACTACTTGTCTTTTTTTTGTGCCCTGTCTCAGACATAAAAAAACACAAATATTTCAAATAAAAGAGACCCCTTCAGATATATTCCCGCATCAGTAAAAAAAAAAAAAAAAAACATCATTTCACCAAAACAAGTCCTTGAGAACTCACTGCAGAAGTTGTAACAAACAATTCATTATCTACTTTCACACTCATCCATGTGATAAAATGTTAAAAATATTTCATTTTAGCATTTTTAAAATGCTTTGGCAGATGCAAAAAAGCTTCAGTTCAATTTTGGGAAGCAAAAAAATATTTGAAAATGATGAAGACACATTTGTGTAATGATAACAGATTGAGACCAAGGTCAATCACTCACCGGTGTGTCATTAGTCATAATTACATTTAAAGCATTTAATAGCATTAGGGAAAAATTAGCTGAATAGGATATTGTGAGTATTCAAGTGGTCCTTATGTAAATTCAATCTGGTCAGGTTTGGGTTGTGAGTTGCTACAGGCTTTACTTGCGCTCGCCTTTTTACAAATGATTGCAAACTGCTTTTGTGGTGGGAAGGCCAGGTGGTACTGCTTCAATCCACAAAATGGCTGCACCTTTGCTTCAGCGGAAAGATAACCAGCAGTGATTATTATCTATTCATAGCCAAAAGGAACAAGAATGAGACTTGACAATATTTCAGCTTAGGATTGGCCAAGATCGACTAACGACATCGTGTTCAAACTGGTGCAAATAGCAAACAAGAAAGGATGCCCAGTCCAACCTGTTTTGTCTAATTAAAGTCCCAGGTTTTGTTTTGCAGTGGACAAAATAGATTTTTAAGATGCAAATTAATTTCTTGGAGCAGCTGTGATTATAAATACTATTTAAAAGCAATTTCTAAAGTTTCTGCAGCAGCTTTCGAGTTCATGCAGGTCAGTTCTCAATGCTGGCGGATTTTCAAAATCTGTCCAAATAAAATACCAGTTTGTGAATGCATATACAATATTCACTCACCATTTGCTTTATGAGGTGTGCTTGTTCAATTAATTAACACAAACAGCAAATCGGTTCATCACAGAGCAGCAAAAAAACAAACAAACAAAAAAACAATAAATTTCAACCTCTA